TTATCAAGCTGAAAAATTCACGTTTCGTCCAAGTATCTCGACATTAGAGATCGAAAATCTTTCGCAGTGAGGCGAAAAAAGAGAAATCTTATGATTCGGGGAGGCTAATTCCACGTCGGTGATATAAATTTCTTTGCCGCGTGCAATCAGAATGCATAGTCGTGGGGTCGGCCATTGGCAGACGGTCGAAGAGAAATGGCGTTTCCGTTGAAAGTCCAACCCTGGACGATTTGTCAGGGCGAGGTCCGTTGTTCGGTGCTCTCGATATCGGAGCCGGTGAAAACGGAAAGCCGCGGAGCGATTCTCTGGCACACACCGTGAGCACGGCTACTAATTAAAAAGGTCCCGTATTGTCAGAGACGCGCATTGTTCGGACCAGATCGAGGCTAGTGGAATTCTTGCGGGCCAATGGTGTGAAAGCAGCTTTGTTCTTGGCACGCTTGGTCCCCGGTCTGATGGATTTAGAACGGAAAACCGGCTGCCGCGGACCGACTCGAGCCCGAACGAATATACGTCGCGGTTCCTTTTCAATACGGACACTCGAAAAGAGCTTAATCAAATTTACTTCTTCGAGGTCGCGACCCTTTTTCTCCGCGATCGCGATTTCGTGGCGCAATGAAAGTACCATGGAACGATCGATTCGGTTCGGTGAATTAATAGCCATTCCGTGGTAATATAGGGGACTCTTCGTGAATACGTGGCTCGCGTTGAATCGATGTTCCAGAGAAATCAAGATTGCCGGAACCAACTTTCACAAACTGATTCTTAAAAGTCTTGAAAGGTGAATCTCTCGATCGAGCAAATTCTCCTGATGCGTTCGAGGTTAAATAGAAAAAAATCTGCGATCTGTGGAAGCGTACATTTTGACAGATTTCGAGAGAATAGCTTTCCATAAAAGTTACCGAAACCGTAGCTATTATAATTAATTTAATTAACGGAACGATCCGAGAAGCTACGGACACGCTTTTCCCCCAGGCTGAATATTATTTTTCCTGTTTTGTATAGCAAAGAACTCGAGTCGGGCATTGAAAAAACAACGAACGCGAAATAAAACAAACCGCGTAATCGTTTTTATCGAGTCGGGCGGAAGCACGGGTGGGGGGGTAAGCGCGAACAATGAAGAGACGAGGAATGGGAACAGGAAATAATCCGAAATTTATGAACCATGGAATAAACGGGGTATCTATTTTTTATAGGGGGGGCGTAATAAAATTCAGCGACACGCGCCGAAACGGGATACGTCGTTAACGAACAACCATCTCGCTTAAAAAATATACGCGTATGCGCCTCCTCGCCCACTCCGCCCCCCCCTCCCCTGCCACGTTCCACGGAATTTAAATCGCAGCGAGGCCGAGCGATCGATTTATCCGGGCGTGAATACGTTATCGTCGAAACAAACAACTGGATCGATGAATATTCAAACAAGGATCGTATGCCCTTAATAACGCCCATTAACCAATTTCCCTATCAGAACCGTAGAATATTTCTGTCCGGCCTGCGGAAACAAGACTTCCCCGATAGTCTACTATTGCCCACATAAATATTCATAAATCGTTATTAATATTATATGAACTTTTTTTTTGTCGAAAACTCTCCGCGCGCGAATAAATCCGACGACACGGCGAGCAATATTTTGCCTCGTGCCGTTGTTATTAAAAGTTAATTCTAAAATTTCACTCGAGAAACAAAACCTGTCGCCCGTTTCCGTTTGGTCTACGAGCCTTTCCCCCGCGTATCGTGTTTTGTAAACACGCTGGATACGCACCGGACTTCGTCCTCGGTGCTTTCGACCAAACAACCCCTTGGATCCCATGGTGTTTCCCTCTCGAACCCTTTCGGCCCGTCCCCGAGGGAGGTCTCGCGCGCGGGCCATTTCCCTCGTGGTTTTCGCTAATTTTGCAACTAATTAAGTTGCTCTCTGAAACTCGATAGGATTACGGGACGGTGCGTGGAACGGACGGAGGCGCGAGACACCCAGAAAACCCCCTTCGCCCCTTTGAAAACCGAATTTCGGGTACGTTCCGAGCCGACCAGACGGAAAAACCGCAGAGCAATGACGGTTTTGTCAAACAGTCCGGGGAAATTGTATACGCCGGCCAAATTCCGACGCGACCGGCCTTCTTAACCCTCGCGGGGACCAACCCCTGCTCGAAGGAACACGCCTCGACGGTGTTGGTACCGCGAAACTCGTATTAACACGTACAGGCGAATAAAAACGAAATTACAGAAGCGGTGCTCATGAATTTTAATGGCCGCCGCGCGATTCTGAATCGCAATGGCCCGGGCCCATTTGAATAACGTTTACACCGTCGATTATACGCGCGTCTACGAGTCTTAATAGGCTCAGGCGTCTCTTAACGCTAGATATACGAGAACCCGTTAATTTAACGCCGATTTCCGATTCTGTACTTAATTTTTAAACGTCGTCGTTATGTTATTTTCCTAGCTGCAATCGCAACTGCACGCATTCGAACCTGTTTGATACAATTTGCGTTGCTTTTGGTTGCAAAAGCTACCGTGTACACTCGAAATACGAGTAAAAGAAATCAGGAAAAAGGATTGATATCGTTCGTCAAACATATCCTCCCGGCGCTTATTCTCTGCTCGCAGATTCCGCGGAGCTTCGTGGAACGATAAGAATCGCGGAAAAATGGAAATAATATCGCGCGAACGATTAATTTCTATCGATCGATACGATCGCCCGAGCCAACAGACGCGCGGGAGCGATATTAATTTCGCGTCCGTGTTTCCTCTGCGCGTTATTAAAAACGTAATAACGTATGGTATTTTATCAAGTGTACCGAGTCCTCTGAAAGTGAATTCCAAATGTACGAAGCACGAATATCGAAGCGAACGAGTGTCCAATCAATCGGAAACATTATAGCCGACCATCGAAACTGCTTCGACCGGACGCGTTATTTATAAATTACAAAACGAAGAGATTGTTTATCGATCAACAGAATTATGATAAAGCACCGTGCACGCGACGATACGAGTACAAAATATCGTTGCAACGTCGATGAGAAGTAACTTGGGCGTTAATGCACCCCCGGAAGTGCATAAACAAACACGAGAACATCCATCCCGGAGACAAACGACGACCCGCGACGGTTTATTTCCAACGCGTTACGCCGGGACATTTGTTCGCGCTGGCACCTCGAATATGGACCACGCGGAAAACGTTTAGCGATCGCTGGCGAGCACTCCAAGAACGCGAAGCGTCACGCTAAATTCTCACCCCTGGTATATTCCACGTCGAAAGAGAGGCAACGCGTCCTCCACGGATTCTCGCGGAACGTTATCGCTTATTCCCGCGTTGTCGAACCCGCGATAAAACGCAAACTTCCACCTGTCCGTGACCCGTGGCCCCGCCCCAGAGATGAGAAACGTCTTCCTGTTTTCGCGCACGAGTTCCCCGGAGAGGCTACGTGACCCGAGTACCGACCGCGAGCTTTATATTTTATTATGCTTTACGATATGTTCTTATCTTATTTCGGGCCGCGTCCCGGCTACGAATTCGCGATCGATGCGGACCGAGGCGACGAAAAGATACCGAGTATCCTGGATCCTCGATGACTTTTCAACCTCTTCTTCCTCAGAGACAAGGGGGAAACGCGCCATTTTTTAGTTAGAGATCTCTTCCATTTTTCCACCCGAGTGTGTAGCAATTGACAGTTTTCTAGAGACAGTGACCTATGTTTATTGTGGTGGCTTGATGTTGTAGGAAGAGGTACGAGAGAGCAGGGGGCATCGAATGGCCGAGTACTTGCGAGAGAGAAAGATCGAGGGTAGTTAAGCGTCGCTACGCTAATTATTAAACGTCCACCGGAAAATTTTAGAGCGAGGCACCGAGTATCTTGGATCCTCGATGACTTTTCAACCTCTTCTTCTTCAGAGACAAGGGGAAATGCGCTATTTTTTAGTTAGAAACCTTCCATTTTTCCACCCGAGTGTGTAGCAATTGACAGTTTACGCGATTCGACAATTCCCAATTAGAGACAGAGACCTATGTTGTAGGAAGAGAGAGCAGGGGACATCGAATGGCCGAGTACTTGCGAGAGAGAAAGGTCGAGGGTAGTTAAGCGTCGCTACGCTAATTATTAAACGTCCACCGGAAAATTTTAGAGCAGATAGTTTCGGAAACACCGGCCTCTCTCTCGCGGGTCGACTGCAAATTTCCTGTCCCCCGTAATTTCCACTATCTCGCCAAAGGGTTGGCTGCTAACGATCTCTATAACAGTTTAGCCTGATCCTCGTCGGCCGCAGTCCGACCGACGTATTTCAAAAAAATGTTCATCGTCGCCGCGTTAACGCGATCTACCGCTGCCACTGAATTAACGTCGCAAATACCTCCCAAAATACCGCGTTCATTAATTAATTCCCTACTATCGCGCAGGAATATTTTGCGAAAATGCTTGCTACATGGTTCGTCCATTTTTTCAACATTTCATAAGAATGATTAGATTCTGAAACTAGATACTCATACCGGAAGTTGCGTTTCTATAACGTTACAAAGCAGACTCTATTCGATGATAGTCTTTTTAATATAATCCATGAGATTAATAGTTTGTTTGTACTTTGAATTCTTGCTAAAAAGAATTACAACTTTATTGAATCCCTTTCTACATATTTAAAGGCTTTGACAATGTAGCTAAATAGTTAAACTTCACGTGTTAAATGTACCCTATGATTACCTCATTTGCTCTTTGAAAGACCATTGTGCAATTACTAACAAGAATGAAAAATAAGAAAACCCAGGTTCAACCGATTAGTAGACTAAGTGTAGCCGGTAAAACAGACCGATTAATTGGCTATCAGTCGGTAAGCGTCGACGGTATAAAAAGAACAATTAATTAGCTAGCAGTCGGTAAGCATTGCCGGTAAAGAAGACCGATTAACGGGCTATCGGTCGATAAAGCGTTATCGACGAATCTTTCTGTGTATTTTTTGGTTTTAAATGAGAAACGAAATGATTTATATTGGTTGCATTTTGCTTGCAGGCCGAACGCACGATTCCACCTACACCCTGTACAGGTTGGGTGAGAGGCTATCCAGCGGAACGAGACTGTACGTGGAGACCGGAAGAACAGACGGTCTGGACGCCGATGGCGATTCGCCCAGCAGCCTGCACTCATTTACGGGACCGCCCGTGCCGCAAGGAGAAGGAACCAGCATCGCGAGAGCGTTCTTGGACGGCAATCACACTCTAATCAGCATCATGGCGCGTATCAACCCCAGCCCCGACTGGTTCGTGGGGGTCGATTCCTTTCAGCTCTGCGTCGAAGGCAACTGGGTCGATACGGTGACCGTCGAGGTAATTGTTATCGACTAACGTCCGACGTTTCCAGCCGCGTTTTACTCTTAAATTTTTCTCGCCAAATTCGCGAGAAAACCCTCGTCCCGTAGCTGTTAAATTCGTAACAGTTTCGTTGAGGAGTATGCAGTCTGGCACGGAAAAATCTGCCTCCGTGACGGGAGAAAAAAAAAAATTGTTTTCCCTCGTCGAGGAAGACGAGGTTACCCTCGTTCCGTTCGCAAAAGGTAAAAATTCGGACGCGTTTGAAGTCCGTCGATCGGGTATATAGGTCGTGGCCCATTTACGAACGTGAATCCGAATGCAACCTTTTCCCATCTCATTAAAATCCGCTCCATTGAAACATACTCACTGCACGGCCTCTGTTCCTCTCTTTTCGCAGTTGGATCCGTTGGACGGTGGAACGGATAACGGGTTCACATTCACGGCTGCCAACTGGCCGACGCAGCCCCAAGGAATCGCCTACAGGATCACGTCACGATACCCGGCGCATCCCGCGGGAAGCTTCTATTATCCGAATCTACCTCGTCTGCCGCCGATAGCCACCCTCACCTTCACCAAGGTAATTCGGCCTCTCTCTACAGAGCACGATTTCAGGTCGACCGATTGCGCCAGGACTCGAATATATCCGCATGCCGTACTTTTTATCGCTTTATAACCGTTTGCTTCAAAATTTAAATCCGTTATCGCCGGTGCTGGTCGTATATCACCGGGTGTCGATCGGTATTCTACTTCCGGGGCTTAAAACTTTGCGCGTAAAATACAGGGTGGTGCGTTTAAACATCTCCTGTAATTGCGGGGGCACGATAAATATTCTGTATGCTTTTTGAAGGGGCTGAAAAAAATATTGTATTGCAGAGAATATTTAGGTCTGGATTAACTACAATTATATCGATCGTCTTAAAGTCGAACAATTTTTTTCAGAGTTTGCAAGGTACCCCCACAGAGTTAGAGATATTTGGGTGGACCATACATGCGTTTACACGAAACTACAATTATATCGATCATCCTAGAGTCGTCGAACAAGAGGTCCTCGAGCCGCATAAATATTTATTTACCGGAACCGGTTCTGAAATTCTCGGTAGCTCCTTCCACAGATTTTATCGTTCGATTCCCTCCGTCTTTTACTCTTTCCTGGGTGACCCGGTCACGATGGCTGGCACTGGTTCCCCGGCGCGATATTCGAACGAAAAAGCGACAGCGCCGGTAACGAGATTCGAGAGCCCGGTCGACCGGTGTTAAACTTGCTAATTATGTCTTCCCGCCTTCCTGTCCTTCTTCTCTCCAACTTACTTTTTGCCCCTGTCTCTTCGCCGTCGTATTTCCCTCCGCCTCGAACCGCCATCTCGCTAGTGACAAGTCGCTTGTGCCACCGCGACAGTCGCTGTCCCCTGTCCCTCGACCGCGCGATCCCTCTCCCGTGTTCAGCCCGGCGCCGCTTACCGCGTAATTATCAAACTTTCCACGCTAATCTGATAGACCTCTTCCCGCACCCGGCCACCGCCATTTTTCCTCCCTTCCATCCCATTTCCTTCCGCGTTTACGTAATCCACCCTGACTCGCCTCTCTTGACGACGCCTCGTCAGCTGTTTCGACGAGCTGCTCCAACGTCTTATCATCCGGTCGGAGGACGCCCAAGAAAATATGTCTTCCGGCCTCGTCGAATTACCCTTCTCCCTTCCTCATCGACGAAAACTTACAACGAAAAATACAACGCTCTCTTAACGCCAGATTCGCCCACGTTATAATTTCATTCAAGATTAAAATATTGGTTTTCTGTTAATCAGGATAGAGGCTCGTTTAATATAAATTGCTAACAAATGATATGCATTAGGATTTCTGCAACTTCCAATGGAGGAAAGGAACATTTTGACCCACAGAAATATCTCGCTTTAAAATAGTAATATTTTAAATACGAGTCCCTCTTTCCATCCAAATCTGTCGATGACCTAAAATCGGCTCTGCCTACTAATTTAGTTTAGTGCTGAATAAATAAAATTCCCCGTCGGTATTTCCCGATCGGTCGTACCCGTTAATCCGCTCTGCAGAGAACACGCGAGTCGACTGACGAAAAATCGTTCTTCGCGGACGATCGATTCCGTCGAACGATGACACGGGGACGCGTCGAGTCACGAGTTGCTAAAAACACCGGCGCGATTCACAGCCGATTAAGCTTCGCTCCTGGCCCTGTTTCTCGCACTCCAGAATCGTTTTCGCGTTTATCGAGTCCATGGAGAGATCGTCGAACCGTGAAACGTTAATTCACCCGTCCTTTTTCCTGTAATTCGCGTCCGCCGTTACGGTTGCCAACCGTGTCTACGCCGACGCGTTCGCGAGTCCCTGTCGCGACAACGTCGGGGTGGAAAAAAAAGGAAAAAGAAGCGATAAAAACGACCGCGCGAACGGTTCCATTAAGCTCGAGCATCTTAGGCACTCCGTCGAGCTCGAAATTGGAACGCGCGAACGGTAATGCACGGTTCGCAATCGCAACGGGTTCCATCGTTGCGGAGCGATTCCTCGAATCGATAGCATTTATGTCCTCGCGCGGGATGGAAACGGATGCAAATTGTCGGTTGCGTGCATGGACACGACCGTTCGAATTGATTGGACGCGAAGGAAACTGGGCCACCGGTAGTTTTCTCACGTCGAGCAATCGGATCGACTCGCTCGATAAAACATTATCGAGGTTATTAAAAAAATGTTTAATTTTCAAGAAATCATTCTCGACACGGTTCGCGGGAATTTTCGAATTTCCGTGCTTCCATTCTTCGCCGTGGCTCGAGGGAAACGACCGTTATATAATAACTCGAATTACGACTCTTTGAAACTCGACGCGATTACCCGTGGCTCCCGGCAATAAAACGCGAGAACTCTTTCACCCTTCGAGTTTAACGAGAGGTCGAGAACGCGTCGTAAAGGCGAGCCTCGATAAAAGCACCGGCACCCTTGAATTTCATAAGCAGAAAACCCCTTTGACCCGTTCGAGAGCGATTGCGTACTCGCAAAATATTTGTCGTCGTTAATTAATTACGGTGATCCCTTTGTGGCTATCCGGGGCTCTTTGCTTTGTGTAGACCGTCTTAATTCAGTCTTCCATCCCCGTCCACGGTTCTACCGAAGTTTTATTCGACCACCAACTCTTGACACTAAACCTACAGGCACTTCATGTATACCCATTCCCACCATAACCGGTCAAATGACTTTCTTTTTCTCTTTGACGAGGCAACGTACTTCTAATTTTTGCATTATATGTACAAAAAGTTGAATTTTGAAATTTATTCGTAAGATATCATTCTCAAATTTTCTTTTAAACCGATACCGTAATTAATTCCAGAGAGAACAATTATTTACGAAAAACTGGCATAGTAATTATGCAAACACCTTGTATACAAATTTAAATTCATTTTCAATTAAAAAAACAATTTATAGTCCAGTTTTATCCCACCATTTATCCTGAAATTATTTTGGGTATGTAACGTCAAAGTAAATGTGAAAATAAACATAGAAGACAGCAAAAATTATAGTAGCTGGTATAGTCATTGGATAGAGGATGGAATGTTCTTTAAAACGAGCATTCGAACAAGTCGATAGCTTTGATAGTTCCGGAGATATAAGACTTCGAAGTTTGTTTACGTTTCATTGTTTACGTCGCGGGGTCAATGACCGCACGTGATCGTAGTACTGACTCGGTCAGTGGGTCAACGTGCGAGAAGGAGGTCCGACGCGTCAGACGAAGAAAGCAATAGTCGAATTAACAAAAATTACCTACATAAATAATATCTCCAAAACGGAAAGTCGAATCGACATAAACCAAAAGCCATTTTAACGGGGAAGGTTTACCGCTTCCAACGATGGCTCAATTATGCAGAAAACGTGACTCGTTTCAAAACTGCACGCGTCAGAAGTTTTAGATTATATTTTTTTCTGTTTTCCGAAAACGAAATTTCTCGTTTCCCGGTTGCAACATTTCGCGAGTAATTTCGTTCGCGAGATGCATTTCCAATCCCGCCACGACCGAGAGCGAAAAAAAATCGCTGGGCTCTTCGAGCCGGGGTCGGAGAGCGTCGACAGAGAGAAAAAGCGACCGCGGGAAATAAATCCTTACGGTCGGGAAAGCCCATAACGTGTCACCAGTTATAAATTCTTACGTTTCCTCGAGAGTTTGGAATACTGGCGGCGAACGGAAGGAGAGTTCGCGATCCTCTGTCACCGCACCCTCTTTCGGCTTCTTGCGTTTCGCCCAGTTCTCAGGAATTGAGATTTTATCGGGTTCTGGGAGGAACAACTTTTTCGTTTCGCTTCCCCTTCCCCACGCCAGAAATTTTCTCGTCGAACGGACCCCGCCTTTGCCCCTGTTGATCATAGAACACGATCAACCACGAACGATACTTCGTTTTACTCTCAGCCAAAAGAAAATGTTCTACATAATCGACTGGCCATAAAGTATCTTTCACGCGGTTCAATTATCTCTCGCGAGAACAAGGCCAATCAATTTGTACCTGTCGCGTACCTCGTCACGCCATTTTTCTCCTGGGAGAATATTTCTTTGTCCACGTTACTCTCGTCGAATCGTCAACCATTGTTTTACGAGGCGAAGTGCAGGTTCTCGAATCGAACGCAAGTATTCTCATTGTCCCCGGTACTCTGCGAACAGTTTCCAGATCGTGTTGATCTTTCGACTCGTTGAAAATATGTCCGTTCCACGTTTTCGAACGACCAAGTTTCTATTCTCTATCGCGTGTTCTCAGTCGAGTGCTTTCTTTCAGAGACGCTTCCATTTTGCCCGCTGTCCCGACCTACATATCCATATCACGGAGCGTCTTCGAGTGGATCAATTAGAAAGAAACCGTCCAAGCTTGGAAAACAAGATACAGACGCAATTTATTCAGCCCCGAAAACCCAAAATGACCGCTTATTTGCGTACACAGCGAGCTGGCAAAGCTAATAACGAAACCTTTTGCGCCGTTCGAAAAGGGAAACCCCGGAGAGACGGTGTTCACGATCACGAGGCGTTGTTTGCCCCCCAGAGCGAATTCCACTCCACGCACGACGCTTTTTAGAAAAGGACGTTTTACAGGGAACAATGGGTCTGCCCCGGCACATATCGCGACAGGTAAAAATATTTTCCGACCGCTTTATTTTCTGGCTGCGCGGATTCCTTTGGACCGGACCGATCGAAAGTTTGTCGATCGGAAGGCCGTTCCGTTGTTCCGAGGATTCTTTGTTAGCGAAACGGAATCGTTCAGGGCAGATGGATGGACCGCGTCGGCGAAAAACCGACTTTGTCTGCGAATTTATGGAAACGCCGTCGCGGAATTCAGAACGGAGGGTTCCATAAATCCTTGAATTACGAGGAACGATTCCAAGGGCTTCGCGATACCACAGCGATCGCTATCGTACGATTACCAGGTTCCTGAGTTACTCGAAATAAATCGTTTCTATCCTTATTATCGATGAATATAGTTTAGAGGGAAGAGGTTACAACATAGCATATATAGTTTCAATTTTTTGGAAATATTATGCACTTTAATGGCTACTTGGTTCATTGAGAATTTTCATTTT